GACCAATTAATATGTTAAAAGGCAATAACTTGGCCAGGTGTACTGGCACATGCCTTTAATTCCAGAACTTGGGAGGCAGTGTCTGGCAGATCTCTGTGAGTTCAAGGCCAGCCTGATTTACATAGTGAGTTCCACGTCAGCTGGAGCTACAGGGAGACCCTGTCTCAAAAAGACAAAAATAATAAAGAAAGAAAGAAAGAAAGAAAGAAAGTAATAATTGCTGTTGAAATTATGTTAAAGACAGATTGTTTACTTCAAGCACATTGTTTTCTTATTATCCTTAACATTTACACATTGTAAAATAAGTATTTAATTTTCTATAATTCTAGGATTCCTTATTGGTTTTGGCATTTCTGTATTTTTTTCGGATAAAATTTTATATATATATACTCTTTGGATGTCTATTTCATTTCATATCTTGGGCAGGGAATCTATAAGAAGAAACTAGAACAACTTGTGTTTCCAGAAATTAAGGAATTATGGGCAAAGTATGAGAGCGATAGACTGAAAAGCACTAAAAACTAGTAGAAAGAGTACCATAGCCAAATCTAGGAGAATTTACAGGAAAAAAAAAAACCATATTGTTGTAAGAAAAATCATAGAGAAAAATAACTCATCTTTATCCCATACAAATCCTGCCTAATAATAAAATAAAAATTAATAAATTTGGTGAAGGGAAACTTTCTTTTGCATAATAATTCCAAATACTAAATATGAAACCATAGAAAAATTATCAATATTAATTTCTAGTGTGTTATATGCTGGCTGGATTACTGATTAGCACTAAAATTAGGATATAGACTTTTTTTAAGAGAAATAATCTTTGTCTAACCTCAATCATTTTCACCAAGACAGCCACCAATCATAAAGAAAAATATAGTATGTTAACAAGTGGAGAAAAGTGGCAGAAACATCTTAGCAACTAATGAGCAATCACTTTTTCAGTCATAAGAAAAACTGACACCATGTGATACAGTAAGAACACACCTCTTTAGAGACACTTTCCTCAGAGATTCATTACATTAATCTCATGAGAATGTGTGAGATAAACCCCACCTGAAAGATTTTCTAAAAGTAACTTGTCTTCTTTGAAAGTATCAGGGATTTAGAAGACAAAAAAAGGAAGAATATTACTTATACAATTCTTGGTATTAGAAGTGGCCTCTGGAGAAAATCACCATAAGAGGTTATAAAATTTTAGCACAGCAAAAATAAATAACAATAATAACTAATAATAAATCATAGTAAAATGATTAGAATATTGTGTGAGTATATATGTAATTATGAGTTGAAAATTAAAAAGGAATATATCTAAAGTTATATATTTGTATATGGCCAAAGCCAAATTTTGACCCATCCTGTATTACTACTGGAAGACTTGTCTAGCTTTTGTATCAGGGTTATACTGCTCCCGTACAATGAATTAGGGCACAGTCCTTGTCTTTCTGTTCTCCAGATAGATGGCTTTGCTTAAATAAAACCAGGATTTTGTTTCCCATGAATGGTCTTTGAAATTTCTGAGCTCTTTGTATATGAGGACATAGATGATTTAAAATCATACCTTATTTCTTTAAGGTGGTTAGGCCTTTTCTCTTTCACAACTATGATATTAATCTGAAGTATTATTTCTTTTATATCACTTTTGAAATGACAGCTTTTGCTTTCCCCTTCTATATAATCAATTGTTCTAAATACATGCCTGTTTCCTCAATTATTTTAAGAGGAATTTGTTACTTTTATACCTTTTCCTATATATTTGCTTACAACTTGATTATTATATATTTTATTTTTCCTTTCCCATTTCTTTGAGCAATGGGTTATAATACCATATTTCTGTGTTTAATTTTGAAAACACTTATTTAATACTGTATTTCTCTGTACGTACTGACTTAAGTTAATACATTTCTCTTCTTCATAGTACTAATTTCTATACCATGTTTAACTATTATTTTTCAATTGTGTTTTAGAATATCCTGTGGTGGTTGTTTTTGTCTTTTGGGTTATGTTTTTTTTTTTGTTCCTCAAATGTGTTACATTACTTGAGCCATGTAAAAGTAAATAATTTTCGTTCTGTATTATTTTAATTTTTCTATATTTTTATTGCGTTTTGTGCGTTTCATATAAAAGAATCTTATCAAATGTATTAGAAGTAAATTTTAATTTTCTATTATTTTAAACTTTCAGATATATGTGGGTTATCTTTTCCTCATATGTATCTGGTAAGCATGTCTCTGTGCTTACATATATGGAGGCTCTTATGTGTGTTTGCTTGTGCCCAAGATTGTGTCTTCTTAATTTTGTCTTTATGTTGTGAATTAAGTGCTCTAACCACTGAGAATTCTTTCTTGTTGTGAATTTCTCTTTATTGTAATAACATATAAATCAGCTACTACACAGTAAAATAGTTTAGTAAATACTTTTTCTTAAAATTCATTCAAACTTCCTTAATGAATTGATTCTTGATCATATTGGATTAAATTTTTCTTTAAAAATGTTCTGTATTCTTTGTATGACACTTTCAGGTTTATAGCCATGTCAACCAAATCACCCACATTATTTGCATATGTTTTGTTAAGTGTTTCATATATTAACTGTTTTATATATTCTGATAAACATCATTAATCAAAAAGTATTAGTATGGCTACATTATACATAGTCACAATATCTTAAAATAGGTAATGATGTTGGAAAATTTAGCAGAGACCAGTTTGAAAAAACTTCATAAACCAATTGAAATTACTTAACATTAACAGTAGATGAACTGAGTTGTACAATGATATATATTTTAGAAAGATAACATTTACTAAAGTGTAATAAATCAATTTATTGAAGTGCTGATTCAATGAAATTCAGCATTTTATTATTGTTTTTGCTTTTGCTTTTTTGAAACAGGATCTCACTGTAGCCCCAGATGGCCTTAAACTGGTTATATATCCAGGCTGGCCTTGGTCTCACAGAGATGAGCCCATATCTGCCTCCTGAGCACACAACCACACCTGTCAATACTTTTAACATTTTAAAATTTGTTTTCAGTGACCAGACTAGACTTAATGTTCAGTAGTAGAGTAGTAGCAAAGTTCATGTGTATGTGTGTGTGTGTGTGTGTATTTGACACACACACACACATATATTAAAAGGAAAACTTATTTGTTAATACACAAATAGTGGGTGGAATCTTTTATAAGGAAGGAAAAATATTAAAGTGAGAAAGGCCTGTTGAAAAACCTGAAGGAGGCTAATTTTACTTCAAGATGTTAATTAAAAGAGAGAATGCCAGAAAGAAAAAAATACCAAATTACGGAGGGTCAGGCTACTGATGTTTTATTTTACCTTAAGTAGTGTGGAAGCAATCCAATAATTTTAACCTTTAAATATTGACAATAATATTGTTTCAAATGGTATAATATGGATAACAATGTGGACTGAAAGTATCTAACTGCTGGACTTAGGAAAACATTAGAAGTGCTAAGCTAGTTAGGAAGTTCTATCCCATATGCATACACTTGATCCATTATACAAAGAACTACATAGTTGACTATGGTATTCAAAAGGACACACTGGAAATATAAAATTGAATAAAATATAAAAATACTATTTTGTTTCATATTTCATGGTATGTACTTGGAAAATAAATGTTTGTTGATGGAAAGGGATAGGAAAAGTGACTGGGAGTGCTTTACTTGGTTTACACTGATTTTCCAACCAGTTCACATTTGTACAGGCACCTGGAGGATGTGACCAGCTGGGCCATTAGAATACCCAGGGCTCAGGAATTCCAAGGAAAAGAGAAAGTGAAGACAGAGAAAGTCATATAGTTTGCAAGACCTAAGCTGAGTTTTCCTTCAACAGTAAACTACCCAAGACAGAGATAAAGCAAAAAACAAAACAAAACAAAACAAAACAAAAACAAAACAGAAAAACACAGGTTGAAACCAACTGGCAATCCAAGATCATGTTGTCAGAAGTTCATTTGTTCTGAGGCCAGTGAAACACTCAGCACATAGTAGTGACATCTCATATTTGGTGAACTGTATCATAATTTCATGAGAATAATGAGGAAATATTTTACTGGGTTAACATGAAAAATTACATAGAATTATGTAGAATAATATGATAGATATAGTCTGATGCAAATCTTCATGGAAGTAACAGAAGGTAAAACATGTTAAGAAAGGTACGTAGATAAACCACGACTGTGTAACTGTTCTGTGCTTTATTACGTGTACTAAGGAGAATTACTTGAGGCTTATGTGTAGGAATGTGCTATAATCAGAAGCAGGTTTCCAGTCAATTAACCCATCAGAAAATGTAGTTTACAACCAGGTGTTAAAACATAAATCTCATTAGTAGTAGAGGTTATTCATCAAGGAAGCACAGCCAGGCACACCAAGGGCTCATATATACTCTTGTTTTGTTCCAGAATGAAGGAGAATTTGTCAGAGTTTAGCATTTCCACTCAGACACTGTGAAAGGCATCTTTATATTTCTCACACAGACTGTTCTTTGTTTTTCTTGTCACAAATAGAAATACTATTCTTATACCTTATGACTGATTTCATGGGATCTTGGAATGTTTTGCTCTGCTGCTAATGAAAGAAAAGTAAATAATTAAATATAACATGGCAAAAATACTCAATGCAGATCATGAAATTTGTTGTAATTGCATAAATGCACGTATGTTCCTGTCTGCACTCAAATCTGATCTACACAAAGGAAAACAATAGCTACTTTTCTAAACCACAATCGCTGATACTGTCAACAGTTGGTGCTATTTGTAATATTATACATAGACCAAGATCCTTGAAGTTCTATGTTTTTTCTCCTATATTTTAATATTATTTTAACAAATATTTTTAAAATATTAATTTGCTAACATCTAACATGGAGTTTAAATTATGAAATATTGTTTATGAACACTTTTGAATATTCTCTGGTGAAATCTATTTTTCTCCCTATGAATATATATTATCATTTATATATTATTTCTTTGTTCTTCACAGACACCATTCATCTTCGGGTTCTTGAATCCTCCCCAGTTGGCACAGCTGTTGGGAGCGTGAAAGCAACTGATGCTGACACAGGGAAAAATGCTGAAGTAGAATACAGAATTATTGATGGAGATGGGACAGATATGTTTGACATTATAACTGAGAAGGACACACAGGAAGGCATCATAACTGTGAAAAAGGTGCATAACTTCGGTGAAAATAATCATCTGTGTGTTTAGAGAGTACAGATTTCAGTATGTGACTTGTTTTTGTGTTATCCACCAAATGAAACATAACTGTTGTGTTTTCTTGTGATTTATATTATTTATAAGTAAGAAGGATCTGATGCCAGTGAGTCCTTCAGACATTCTGGTAATATGCTTCTGTTAACTGAAACATGAAATCTGAAATTTAAAGAAAAAAGGACAAGTTATTATATGTTTAATTATATTTCTAAGCTATGTTAATAAAAGCCCACCAGAAAACAATATTTTCTTAAGGAATTGTTAATAACATGATAATAGCAATACATCATCACAGTTGAGGCATAAAAATAGCTTGCTATCCTATCCAGATGTATGAACCAATAATTAGTGTTGTTAATAAAAAGAGACAGAATGGGTTGGAACATAATTTAATTGTTCACATTTTCCCTTCTGCTATGTAAACTAAACTTTTCTGCTAATATATGTTAAGTGAAGGAATTTTAAAGTAACAAGGTTTTATTGTAGTTGGTTTTTATCATTATAAGAAAAAATAAGGCACACGTATATTTAGATCCAAGTGAAATATCATGCAAAAAATAACCATTGAGACAGGGTAATAAAATTGTGCTGAGATGCTCTTGAAAGCACAAGAAACAAACCCTTTGCTAACTTGGAATAACCAGCAAAGGTAAAAGCCACTTTTTTCTTTATTTTCCCAATAAAGAAAATAAGCAATAAGACAAATTGAATCTTTTTGCTTTTCAGAATGAAAAAACAAAACAATAAACAAAATAAAAAAAAACAAAACGCTTGAGCAAACCTGAGTGTAAGATATTAATAAATATTGTGCAGCAAATATGGCTCAGGGATTAGATTTTAAACCCATGACAATTAAGTTACCTAAGTTACCTCATATAAAAGTCTACTTTTAGCTTCATAATGCATCATATTTAAGGCATTACTCTAATTTTTTTTGCATTACATACAATTTTCCTAATCTTCAATATTTCCTATGCCTACTGAAAGTTTTATATTAGTCTTCAACATTTCATAATTTATACAGCTCCATGTCCCATTGTAGTGATATCAATATTATGTTTTTTAAATAACCCAAAATTTAAAAATTCCTGAATCTTAGTTTAAAAAATTGTCCCATAGCCAGTAAGTCATCATGTGTACAGAAATACACATCAGACTAGCCATTTTTGGTATGGAATAACCGTCCTTATGAAAATCTTCATAATATTTATGTAACTTTTTATAATTATCATTTTCCAATGTTCAAAAGTATTATAAATTAGTCACCTAAATATAAATTATAACACATACATATATTGCATTTTAATTGTTTTTTTATTAACTAATGAACAACTGTATAAAACTCAGCCAGATTTCTAAGTCCTGTAACTTAGTGCAAAAAATCCAACTCCTTCACTCTAATTTGAGGATGTTTGTCTTACAGCCACTTGACTATGAGAGCAGAAGACTTTACACCCTGAAGGTAGAAGCAGAAAACACCCATGTGGATCCACGTTTTTATTACCTAGGCCCATTCAAAGACACTACAATTGTGAAAATCTCCATTGAAGATGTAGATGAGCCTCCTGTTTTCAGCAGATCTTCCTATCTCTTTGAAGTTCATGAAGATATTGAAGTGGGCACAATCATTGGTACGGTAATGGCAAGAGACCCGGATTCTACTTCCAGTCCCATAAGGTAATTATGTCCTTGTTTAAGATGAAAATAAGCACAGTTAAATGCATAGAGGGATCGGGAAATTCTACTAACATTTTTTAGCAGCTTGTATACTATCCTATAGAACTGTGAGAGCTGGTCTTCATGAAGAAGGCTTCCACATCAGTTTCAGCTTCATTGCTCCAAGTCCTGTGTCCCACATATATCCTGTCTTCAACAATAGGGTCTTGCCTTCAAATTCTGGGAGGTAATTAAAGACTCTGGCAATTGTCTGTGCTGTGAGTATTTTGTTTAGAATCCTTCTATCTATGCTCATTAAGGATATGGGCCTATGGTTTTCACGTGTGCATCTTTATATGGTTTTGGTGTTACAGTGATACTGGCTTCATAGAAGGGGTTTGGAAGTTCTTCCTCAGTTTCTGTCTTTTTCAACGATTTAAGAAGTATTAGTTGTAGATCTTTGAAATTTTCGTAGAATTCTGCTGTAAATCCACATGGACCTGGGCTTTTTTTTTATTTGGAAGTTGTGTATTGTTGTTTCAAATTCCTCATTTTTTATGGGTCTGTTTAAGCTTTTGATCTGTTCTTTAATTAACTTTGGTGGTTTCCATTTAATTTGGAATTTCTCTTTCTTCTGCTTATGTAGGCTAAGGTCTGTCTAGTTTGTTTAACTTTTCAAAGAACCAGCTTTTTCAGTCATTGATTCTTGTACTTTTTCTTTGTCTCTAGGTCATTAATTTTTGTTATTTCTTCTGGTCTACTAGGTTTAATCTGTTTCTTTTATTGGTTTTAAAGAGTCTTGAGTTGTGCTGTTAACTTATATATATGAGCTCTTTATGATTTTTTAGATGTAGACACTGAGAACTATAAACTTGCCTATTAAAACTGCTTTTAAATAGTTCCAGAGTTTTTATAGGGTTGTGTTATAATTTTCATTTAGTACTTTCTTAATTTCTTCTTTGACCCATTTAATCTCCACGAGTTTGTGTAGTTACTGGAGCTTCTTTTGCTATTGATTATAAACTTTATTGTTTTTGGTATGATAGAATGCATGGACTTAATTCAATTTTTTCTATTTGTTGAGGTTTGTTTTATGTCCCAGTATGTGATCAATTTTAGAAAAACTTGCATGGGCTACTGAGTAGAAAGAGTATTCTTTGGTGCTTGGTTGGGATATTCTGTAAATGTCTGTTAGGTCCATTTGCTGTAAGATGTCATTTAATTTAGACGTCTCTCTGCTTGTTCTTTCTCCAGTTGACCTACCTATTGGAGATAGTGGAGCCACTTGCTATTGCTGTGTTGGGTTAATCTGAATTTTATAGTCCTAGAGTACCGTTTTATGAAATTGGGCACATCAGTTTGGTGCATATAGGTTCATGATTGTAAATCCTTCTTGGCCAATTGTTTCTATGACTAAAGTGATCCTTTTCTCTCTTCTGAATAGTTTTAAATTGTTGTTTATTTTGTCAGATATTAGAATTGAAACACCCACTTGTTTCATAGTGTCCCTACTTAGATGTGTGATAAATTTCTTGAAGACAACAAAAAGATTGATTTTGTTTCCTAATTCCAGCAGCCTGTGTCTTTTGACTGGGGAGTTGAGTTCATTCATATTTAGGATTAGTATTGAAAGATACATATTGGTTGCTGTCTTCTTAATTTGTTTGTGTTCTTGGTCCTAATTTGTGTTTCCATGTTTATGCCTTCTTTGTTTTCTTTCTGTATTCTCTTGGGTATAGTCCTTCCTCTCTTTGATCCTTTGTGTTGCTTCGAGTATTCTTTGTAGGACAGATTTGGTGGACACGATTCCTTTCTGCCTATTTGTGTCATGAAAAAAATTTCCATTACCTTTTCACTATGATAGATACTTTTGTTGGGTGATTGAGGTTTACTGAGAATACTTTGGTGAAGGATCTTTTGGTTTTCATAGATTGCACTGAAATATCAGCTGTAATTCTGATAAGATTTCCTTTATATATAACTTGTTTTCCTCTAGCAGCTTTCAGTACCTTCTCTTTATTCTGTACTTTCAGTGTTCTTACTATGATATACCATGGGGAATTTCCATTCTGCTCCTATATAATTGGTGTTCTTTGTACTTCATATATCTGCATAGGTATGTCTTTCCTCAATTTAGGGCAGTTTTCTTCAATTATCCTGTTTAAGATCTAGTCAATGCCATTTCCCTGAGATTATTTCCTTCTTGTATGCCTATGATGCATAAGTTTGGTCTTTTCACAATGTCCCATAGTCCTTCCATTTCAACATTTTTAACTTTTTTCATACTCTTTGCTTGAGTGTCACAGTTCAGTGACCACAATCCAAGCCTGAAGTGCTTGGGGACCCCAACAGATAGAAATCAGGACACAGGGGATGCAGAGGCTTGTGTTCCAAGTGCATGTTTATTGTGAACTAAAGCAGCTTATATAGAATGCAGATATGGAGTAACCAAGGAATAACCAAGGATACATTACTTTACAAAAAGAAAGTAACCAAGGAATAACCAAGGGTAAATTATGTTACAACCAAGAATACATTAGTTCACCAACTGAAATTCACACGTTTACAGTATCCAAGATTCAGCTACATAATATTAATAATACCTTAGATATAAAGTGAACTGTTTGTGATCACTCTTAGCAACTACTAGAATCTATTATTTCTATATAGAAACCAAGCTTACAGTGCTGAGAAACTCCGGTGTCCATAAACTGAAACAGAACTCTTTAGTTATGTATCCAAGACTGCTAATTAATGAGGGAAGCATAGCCTGTCAACTCAGACCACAGAAGCAGAGAGCAGGGAAAGTCCCAGGGTGGAAGCATTCTTCCTCCTATTCTAAAGTCACGCTGTGCCAATAATAGTTCCCAATACTTGAGGAGTTCAGTTCTTTAACTTTGTTGTCCAGTCTTCATAGTCTATTTTATATTTCATTGATTCTACTTGTGAGGCTTTCTCTTGCCTTTTCAAATTGACTTACTGAGTTTTTCTATTCCATTTCATTTCAACTTGGGTTTTATTCAATATTTATATCTCTTTTGTGAATTCACTTTTCAAGTCCTAAATTATTTTTGTTATTTCATTCAGCAGCATATTTGTATTTTCTCGAGCTTCAGTGAAAGGTTTATGCTACCCTCTTTCAGTTCTTTGAGTTGCTTATCTATGTGTTCTTCAAGTTCTTTGATCATCTTTATGATTGTTCTCTTAAATTCTGTGTCATGGTTTTCCTCAGGGTGATTGTCATTTCAGTACATTTCTGTGGGGCTGGTGGGTTTTATTTGGGGACATATTCTCTTGGTTTTTCATATTATTAGTATTTTTGCATTGTCCTTTAAACATAAGGCTGTCTTTTGTTGGTTGTCTATCTGATAGGAAATTTTATTCTGACTTTGTTTACTTGAAGTTTAAATCTGTTTATATTGTTGATGTAGCTTGCGTCTTTTTGCTCAGATATGAAAAGTTAGTTGGTGTGTACTTCAGGTTCTTAGATAGGGTAGTAGACTGACCTGAACAGTAGAGAAGTCTGTGCTAGGCAAATCAGGAGAGGAGCCAAAGGCAAGATGGTATGGGAACAGCCTGTGGAGGGTCTAACAAAAGAAGCTGAAGAATTGATCTAATCTAGGCACAGGAGATCAGGACACAGTGGGTGAGTCTGGACTAAGAGTGTAATCCAGGGATCTGGCTCAGAAAGAGCAAGAGCCATCCTGGACCCAAGGCTAGTAGGGGGACCCAGAGTGGGGATAGAGTACAGCTGCTCAGACTTTGGGGGAATCAAGGCACAGTGGGCATGATCTGACTTACAAGGGTGGCAGGCAGTTCTGAGGCAGTGAGATCCCCTTATTAAGTTATTAAATAGCATTTTCTTGGCAGAGATTTCAACTGAAGGCAGTCATGTTCTGGGTTCCTGACTTCAAAGTGGAAATGATATATTATTTTTGTTTGTTGGTTTGTTTAAAATGGAATCTCACGTAACCCATACTGGTCTTGAACTCACAATGTAGCCAAGGAAGATCTTATACTTTTGTTCTTCCTGACTTCTTGTTCCAAGTGGTAAGATTACAGGTATGTTCTATCAGGCCCAGCATGTCATAGGGTAAACCCAGGTCTTCATGCATATTAGAAAAGCACTTTACCAACAGAGGTTTATGCCCAGACCCTATATAATGTTTTTGATAATATAAATGTGAATCAAGTGGTATTATTATATTACCGAAATATTTCTCAAAACAATCAAATTGATTTCTGTCTTCATATAATTGTTCCTTAGGATACATAAAATCTCTGTGTATATCTAAAAACAAATTATAATGTTTAATGAGGATGCAGGCCAAAGGACCATGGGCAATATGTTTTGTCTGAAATGAAATGTGTGACAACAGAATTTATGCCATGTTGATTGTGGAATGTTTTGTGATCTTGATATAGAAAAAATATATTTTCAAAGAAATGAAGTAGGAATATACATATATATATGTAATGAAAGCTATACCTATATACTATACAACATACTTCCTATATATGTGGGTTCTGTATCCTCTCACAGAAAGAGATAATATGAGCAAGTTCCCAGGGGCCCGAAAGCCTCTGTTTCCTTATGTTCATGCACCAAACTCTTTCTTAAATTCTTTCCACCCCTCTCCCTCAATGGTCCCTGAGCTTGGATAGGTAAGTTTTATTATAGGAGCCCTTCCCACAATGTGACAGCATGCACAAGATCCATGCTACTCAATCAGACAAAAACCCAACATAGAATGGGGAAATGAATAGCAGGCTGGAACCCTAAGTAGCCAAGGAACTATTGGCAAATGACTACTGTAGGTGAGGGAGAGTAGATGTTCTTTAACCGAGTGACTCTAGATATGCTGAGTAGACTCCAGTAGATGAACTTGCATGAGGGACATCTGGATACAAATATTTGACTAGATAGGACTTAACATTTATGACAGAATATGTAATCTGGGGATGGGGTAGTGGGGAGGGGATCTAAATTTGATTAAGATCTATTATATGAAATGCACAAAAACTCAAAAAATATGGGAGAAAAAAGAGAAAAATATATGACTGAACACGGTGGTACATATCTTTAATCCCAGCAGTTAGATGGTAGAAGCATCTAGATTTTTGTGATTTTTGAGACGAACATGGTCTCCATAGAGAGTTTTAGCCTACAGTGAGACACTGTCTCAAAAAAAAGAAGAAAAAGAAAAGAAGGAAGGAAGGAAGGAAAGAAAGAAAGAAAATAGAAAGAAAGAAAGAAAATAGAGGCAAAGGATAGGAATTTTAAATACACACAGAAGGAAAGAAAGAAAGAAAGAAAGAAAGAAAGAAAGAAAGAAAGAAAGAAAGAAAGGGAAAGGAAACATTAGAAATCATTGTTCTTGTACCGGGATGATACAGACTTTGCTTCATTCATATTACTTTCATGCATTTATATTATCTTAGCTGTGGTAAGCAACCAAGATACGGTTTAAAATATATAGGACATTTTACATGGGTTTTATGTGAACATTACTCCATTTTATACAAGGGAGTTATGCATCTGAGAATTTGGATATCCACAGTATCAATTCCCAAAGAAATAAAATACCTTTATTAAGTCAATGTATTTATTGGATATTTCATACCACACATGATATAAAATTCTTTCATGTATCCTGTATATTTGGACAGAAATCATAGATTTTTGTTTCAAAATATTCTGGAAATAATGTTTAAAAGAAAATGAAAGTTAACACACAATTTGCCCATATACGGTTGGAAAATTGTATGTGAAGCATATCTGAAAATGAAGATCTGAGTTGCCAAGGTAGCTTAGCAGATATGGGCACATTCCACCAGGCCTGATGACCTGAGTTCAGCACCACAGGGTAGAGGAAGAGAACCAACTCCAATGGATTGTCCTCTGGCCTACATATATGCACTGTGGTGCCTGCCCTCAATCCCCATACTCAGTAAATGCATGTAAATAATTAATGAAAATCTTTGATTTCTCTCTCTTTAATATACTATATAATAATCTTCTACATACTGTCATTATTTTTTGAGTTGACATACAAATAATTAAGAACAACAACAACAAACCTTAGAATGGATTAGGATAAGACATTGATACATTATTATTTTATTACATGTATTAATCTAAGTATTGTAAATTCCTGTAGTGTTTTTCCCAAGTAAGATAATTAGCTGTTTTCTGACAGGGCTGTTCAATTTTTTTTTTAATTTGATAACTATTTTAGATTACTCTTAGGTCTGAATATATATCCTATTCCATTAGAGAAAATTTTACAAGGGGATCAAGAAATATTCATTGGATGACAGCTAGTGTACTAGAGTAGTAGAGTGTGATAGTAGCAGTTGGCTTGTTGTTTTCATGTCTTATTTCCTGTTTTAAATTTGTGATTAAACTGCTTTAAATACAACACTACACATCACAAAGAATGGCAATACAGGGTAGTTTAGGATGAAAGGTAGAAAACAGCTTCAGCCTGGGTAATCATGAAAGAATGTTAGGAGGTAAAAATTTATGTGACTTCAGTAATGATTTAAATTTTTATTTGTAAATTATTCCAAATGCAGGAATTATAATGACTCTGTATTTGTTAATGGTGATACATGTAATGTGATAAAGATATTGACGTTTATCCCAATTACGCCACTCTGATTGACAAAGGTATGTAGTACACTTTCAAGTGACATTTTGCATGATGGCTGTAATCAGTTTGCAAAATGATCGTTTTAAAGACATGGATTTTATTTTACACAGATGTATGAAATTTTCTAAAGTAGAATAGTAACTTTAAAACATTTTAAGGTATTTTTTTATGTTGATTCATGGGGTTAATTAACTGAAGATATACAGTTATCACACCTGAAGCTACAAATCACCACAGGTTGATGATCCACGGCTTTGATAAAAATAATGTTGTCTCCAATTTTCTTACTAAGGAAAAGTCTGACCTTCTGATATTAACCTTTTATAAAGGATAGTTTTAGTATTTCTTTATTAGAATACTTAGTTACAAAATAAAGTCAGTAATAATTTAATTGTGTATAATTCAGACAAATTTGTGGCCAAATACATCAAGTTAGTCGACCATGTAAGGCAATAGGCAATGATTTCGATAGCAGAATCATTTGTAAACCTTGCATTTGAATACGGAACAAAATGCTAGTTTATACTTCAAGTGGTGAATGTTCACCTGTGCAACCTGATGAAACGGTCTACAGTCTTCATCAGTACTATTTCCTATGATTATCAGTAATTTGTATGTCTTTGTATTTTACCATTTGCTACTGCAAACCATCAATATTACTGCCATGTATTTTCTTTGCCATCTCTTTTCAGATTTACTTTGGATCGCCATACTGACCTTGACAGGATCTTTAACATACATTCTGGAAATGGATCACTTTATACATCAAAGCCACTTGACCGTGAACTATCTCAATGGCACAATCTTACTGTTATAGCTGCTGAGATCAGTAAGATGAATTATGTTTGATAAATATTTATGTTTTATGAAATTTTTGCTTTTTGTATTTTGACTTAGTTTTAGGTTTATTTTATGTTAAAAATAATTCTTATTACTTAAATAAATTGAATTTCACTACAATTTTTTTCATGATTTCTCAAATGTCTGTATTTTTTCCATCATTTTCTTTATTTCTACACTGAGGATAAGCTAAGAATATTGAAAGAGGAGTGAAATGTTAACTGTAGTCTCTCAAGAATTTTGACAAGGCTTGAGAATTGAACTGCCATTAAGACAAATTGACAGGAGAAAGGCATACACATTTAAGTTTATGTAGCAGGGAGACTTTTCATAGAAACAAAGCCCTCCAAAGTGGCAGAACATAAAACATATCTCTATACTAGAATGAATAAAGAAACAATAGTGAAAAATAGCTAAATATACATGTATTTGTATGCATTTTTCTTGCCTCTGCTCAACCTCTCCTAGATATTAGCAGTGTTACTGTCTTTGTAGTATGAGAGAATATTTATATATTATATCTCTTAAGATGGAGAAGAGGTCAAAGTGGTGGTTATTGCACCTATTCTTGATTTTTTTTTAATTGTAAAACAGCTTTTAATGCTGGAGAGGTGGCTCATGTGGTAAATTGTCTGCCATGCAAATATTAGGACTTGAGTTCAAATACCTAGTACTCATCTAAATAGACTGGCCTGTTATATATATTTGTAATTGCATGTGTGGAAATTAGGAAGAGAATGAAACAGGATGATCCCTGGAGCTTCACAGCCTGCCAGCCTATCTGTTCCCTAACTGAATCTGGGAACTTCAAGCTGATGAGGAGACCCTGTCTGAAAAAAATCACAATGAAGAGAAGCTTGAGAGATGGCTCAGCAGTTATTGGTGTTCTTTAAGGGAATGATGCTACATAGGCTGTACATGCTTCAGTGGGTGAACTCACACTGAGAGACATCTGGGTACACAAACTTGACTCCATAGGCCTTAACATTTATGACAGAATGTATGAAATCCAGTGGGGGTTATGGGGATTGGAGATAGGTGAGGGGATCTAAATATGATTAATCTGTGTTGTAATATATATATATATATATATATATATATGTATATATATATATATATATATATATAGTGTTTATGTCTCTTCTGGAGGACTAGAGTTCAGTTGCTAGCACCCACACACTACACACTGCCATAGCCTGTAATTTCATCTTTCAGGACACTCAATACTTCTAGAAGTCATGGACATGTACACTCATGTAGACAAACCAGACACAGAAATATGCATGCAAATTATACAAAATAATGAAAATATGTGAAGAGTGATTAAGGAAAACATAAAATGTTCAACTTTGACCTCAACATGCATGTGCACTCATGCATGTACACAAACATATATGTACTTGCACATATACACAAATATATACATTATCTGTGAAAATAATCCTGTATGTATATATATATATATATATAGTCATAGCTGAAAATAATACTTATGTCAACACTATGTATTTTGGAATAACACATTCTACCTTCCATTAGTATTTATAAATCCACAACTAGTAATAGCTAATAAAAGCTACTTATAATTGATGTTTCTAATTTGAGGGAAAAATTAAAATATTAAATTTATTGTGTTCATGCTGTGAATTAGAATCTCCAGAAAATGTTAGTTATGAATGATATAATTAAATCTTAACAACCATATACACAGATACTAATATTGTAGATGACAAAATCAAGTTATATTGTTAATGTTGGTGAAATAGGTCATACTATGCATTGGGTAGTTGGTGTCATCCTAAGGATTTTAAATTAGACTTCCTGTTGCTAATGTTTTATTAACTTCAGATTACTGAGAAGTTTCTTAGGCCTTGGTGATTTTTATAGCCTTCATAAAATTTCAGTGTGGGAAGCAGTAATCTTGGAATCAAAATTGGTTGTTCCATTTCTAAGTCTAGCACTATGCTTTGTGCATGATTTCCAAAACTGATAGATCATCCAAATAGAAAGTGGCAACTTGAAGATTTCGAACAACATATTCCTTAAATTGCAGCAGATGTTTCCCACAGATAAGAATGTCTCTATCATTTGTGGAGGTCATTGTCAAATTCATGATTAGCAGACTATTGAAATCATTCAGGAGCAGATATGACAGCATAATTTTCAATCCTGATATTCAGAAGGCTGAGTCAGAAAGACCTCAAGTTCTATACCAGGCTGGACTACCTAGGAAGAGCCTGTCTCAAACAATAGTCAGCATTATCAAAGTCCTACAAAACAAAAATCAAGCAAAATTCATTCAAAGATTTGAGACGGTGGCAGCAGAGCCTTAAATCAATTTAACAATCTACGTCTTCAGAAGACTGCTGGTCAAATCAAATACCTGTGCTCATATAAACTTTCTCCTAGTTTCTAATCAGATGTTAAATTGTTGGTGGAACAGAGTGTGGGACTGTTTTCACAATAAGCATTTACTTGGAACTGAGTCATGGTGTGAAATAGCCTATAAAGTCCATATGTGCAATACCGAGTCCACACACAACTATAAAGACAGAGTTATTCGATGTGATCACTCCAAGCTAAGAACAAATCTGTGTGTTTGAGAAGCATGGAACTAATCAGTTAGATCACCAGAAATCTATTCAAAGCTTCAAGATAATAAAAGAGATTTAGGTTTATCATTCTACCTAGCATCTGAAATAGTGATTTACCCTTGTCTTTCCCAAGGACCCTCCTTTCTGTCGGGAGATACAAATGGCAGTACCTTTTTAAGGCTATTTTTTTTTTTTTTCGTATAAGGAAAACTTCTGTTTTTCTGTCTCCATGTTCAATGGAATCCAACTTGGAGCTTCTGGAATCTGATTGTTTGTGCTGTCTGCTCAGTTCAAGATCCTTATTCAAGCCCAATGAGCTTGGAATTGCATTTTCTATTTCAGATACTTTGAGAAATTTAACTTCTGAAGCTAGTAGAAGTAATTATGATTCAGTAAAACGCTAAGCCAATTACTTCTTAAGAACTAAGCCTATTTTTGCCCTTAAGTGAAATCAATCTGTGGAATAAGTGCTGGAAATGCCCACCTGCCAAGTACAAGCAGCCAGGGTCCCATTATGCTGTTCTGGGAATTCAGTGCAATGAGGGCGAAAGGGAAACAACATAAAGTGAATTGTTTTATTAGACTTTAAATACTGGCTTGATGGTGAGTGTGTCACACACCAAGCCCTGGGCAGGACAGAAGCTTGTGTAAATGAACTTCTTACTAATTTGTTTCCAGACCCTGCTTCTAACAGTTTAATTCCATATTACACAGCAACATATCACATCATGTGACAAGTACTGTCTGCTTCAGGTAATTATTCAGTGCATTACACCATGGCATAATTCTTTTCTTCTGTAAAAAAAAAAAAATTCAAATGCCTGTTGGAAAATGAAAAAAAAAGAAAGAAAGAAAGTTAAGATCACAACCATAGACTTAAATATAAATGGAATTTTAGAACATATTGCTTATAGAAATCAAAGAGTTACTGTAATTACATCTGAAAATTTATCATTATTGCAATAGACTCTGAGGACAGCAGAGCAATGGATGAAGAACCGCAGTAGCTCACTCTCTGTTAGTGAAAATCTTGCCCAGAGCATGCAAAAAAGCTTCATCTTTTGAAATCCCAGTTTCAAGAGAATGATACACACAGTCCTCTTTTTTAGACTAATTGAAAAGCTTGTGCATGCGTAGGAATGGCCTCACCTGTGGACATGCATCCTGAGAGCCTTTATTACTCAGTCCTTCTTGCTATAGAGCAGCTGCCCTGAAGGACGACACTAAGGGAGATTCAGGTGGTAAACATAAGCCAGCTGCTATTCAGTATAATTCTTCCTTGGAATGCTTTAGACTTTTATTTATACATAAGCTGGAGCATCTGCCAGCAAAAAAGATTAGTGTAAGCACTGTTTTCTGAATAGATGACTTGAGGCCTGATGTTTTATAAAGCACATTCATCCCTGTGGATTTAGCATTTGATTTGAAGAGCCTTGAGTTATTTGGAAAGAGACTGAAGAATCTTCCTATTGTGTGAGAGAAGGGTCTGACAGAGCAATTTTTCACATATGAAACTTTCTTGTCTCTTTTGACTCCATTGGCATAATTAGAAAGTGGATTCCTTCCAAGAAGAGTTATTTTCTTGTCAAGAATGAATACCAAAATGAAAATTTTGCCTATGTCCACTTACCGTATTAGTAGGTAAAAGAGCGTCTTCTAGAAAATGTCAAAGAAACATACCTCCCCACTCTTCTGTATAGCAGCAAGCAAATAGGTGGGCAGGGTCTATTTGTAGTGGAATATACCTCTGGATATTAGCAAACAATTTAGTACTAAAGGACATAGGAAGGTTATGGAATAGCATTTTTCTTTTTTTATTTTCTTCTTTCTTCTTGTCCATATACTCATCATAGTCATGTAAACTGAAGGAAAACTGGTTAGCATTGTGTAGGTCTTCTTATTATGTGGATATTTCATGTCTGTGACATTGATTTTTTTTTAATTCCACCTGTGATTTAGATCATGTGGATCCTGTCATTCTGTGACTACCTTGGTACACTTACTGTACATTCCCGTTCTATACATGTGGTTTCAAATGACAAAATTCATTCTTATCTGAATATTACTCTGGTCTCTATATGTACTACATTTTCTTTATCAATTCCTAACTTGATGAAGACTTCACTTTTTTAAACTGATCTAGTACTGCCACAAGCATGGAATACAGATGTCTTGTGACATTCTTTTGTCATTTATAAGGATACTCACCTTGACTCTGCTAGTGTTGGCATGCAAGTTCAGCTATGCTCAGATTAATGAATTCACTTCATGAAATCTGAATGACTTTAACTTGACTTTCTAATGCCCAAATCTCAAACATTAGTAGGACTACCTAGATTATACCCAACAGTGATAATGCCATTATAAAAAATTTAACAATGTTTCTAACACTAAGCAAAATTTTAACATGTTTAACACATTTTAAAATTTGCTTTATAATTCAAAATAATAAATACATCTTTCTATGTGACAACTTTGATGCGCCTTAATTTCATCACGTTTAGCAAAACAATCACGATGAATATGCTGATCGTTTTAATGGAGGTAATTTGGATAGGATAAATTGGTATGCAAAATCAAGCTTGGATTTTTGAAATGGTGTCAGTAATGCATATATTAATAAAATATTTCAACTATTATATTTTATTATAAGTTTTCTAATAAATTTTAAAATAAACCCATGCAGTATAATTTCCAAGCATTTGAAAGTAGCTATTAGAGTTCATTCTGATTATAGAAGCAACAAAACTGGCAGGTTTTAGTATAACAAACAGCCCTTAGGAGACAGTGACATTGTCCGAGTTTTTAATTTATTTTAAACTGCTTTACCTAAAAAAAAGTAAGAATTAAATGAAAGGGGCATAAAAATTACAGTTTAATAAATACTTGTTCCCACCTCATATATGTGGACAGTAGGGCCACACATATAATATGAACTCTGTTATAATACTGTGTTGTAATTTTAAAGGATTTCCAAAATAGTAATAGTAGTCTTGTGCCTGATAATGAGGGAATTCATGACTACTTAATTAGGCTCTACAATAATTTTCTTTATTGCATTTGTTCATTACTTTAGGAGAATGAATGCAATGCTCATTTGCAAGTGAACGCTTAATGTTCACCAGATGCCTGTATAAATTAAAGCTGTGCTTTCCTGAACAAAATTTTGTGTCTCTCTTTCTAGATAATCCGAAAGAGACAACTCGAGTGGCTGTTTTTGTGAGGATTTTAGATGTTAATGACAATGCTCCACAATTTGCTGTGTTTTATGACACATTTGTTTGTGAAAATGCCAGACCAGGACAGGTGAGCAATTACACAACTGAAATTTTGGATGATTTTAGCTGTGTGTTAAATTTTGGTTTTGTCAAAAACTTGTGTGAATGAAGAAATGCAATTAGGAAGACTTAATCTATACTGTTAGTAATATTTCAGAAAATGATGTTTATAAAAATGGAAATTATAATAAGTCATAGTATATCAGGTTTCATAATTAATTTATAAAGTTGTATTGCAAAGAAAGAAATTTCAAATACAAGGACAAACACCCAAATCCCTGCTGTACTACTGCATAAACATTGGTAACCATTTAGTGGTTTAATGGTGTTACTGGAATTGTTATGGTCAGAGACAAGACCCTTATACACCTAATCACCTGATCTCTGCCACCCATCTTCAATAGATCAATTAAATAGACCATAAGAGAGACATGCAGAGAAATGACATTTATTCAGTATGGCTAGATTGGAAAGGATTGGAAAGGAGAACAACTACAAAAGTTCAGAGATGCCCAATAAATACATCTCTGAGGTCCTGACATGAAGTTTGGATTTAAATAAAAGGAAGGAATTATATATAACTAAGCAGTCCTGGGCACAGTGTGGCCCTGCCCATTGTTGACCGCCATTGTCTCAGTTCCAGTTTCTTCAGTTTCAAGACGGTCTGGCAAGTTGTAAAGATTGTGTGAAATCTCTTTACTGGAGAAAAATTTCCCTGTGGCTGGCTCTGAATTTCAGTCTTCTCCGCTCTCAGAAAGAGTCCTGAGAAGTACCAATTTCTTGGGCACCATTGCTTCAATAGTTTATAGACTGAGCCTTGGTCACAAGTATCTTTTAGAATATCATCACTGCTGCCAGCATGGGTAGAGTGAGAACTGGGGAAACCCAGAAATGAATGCATGGGATCACTGAAACGTTTAGTTAATGTTTTGTTGCATGTGACTATATTTTGCAGTATGACAGCTGAATTCACTGTGCATGGACTTTGCTTTTCATCAGTGTGACAACATATAAGGAGCTTAATGACTTCATTTTAGTCCTTTAAAACATTCTTGCTACATTAGCTTTGTTTAGAATTCTTTAAATCATTTCCTCATTGGACTCATTTTGTTGTTTGAAAAGCTCTAGCATATATGACTGAAAGAAAAGCTCTTTTAATTGGTTTGAGTGCTATCTTCACAGAGGGAAGTTGCATGTTATAAATAATAATTGCCAATCAAATGTGTTTTATAAAGAAAAGAAAGCCATTGAGAAACTGTATTGTGTTTTGACATCATTTAATGCTTTTATAAACATAAATGTCATGGTTACATTTTTATGCAGATTGTTTTGTGGAATAACTCAAGTTCTTCTTTGAAGATTATAACAGTTCAATAGCTTGTCTATTGTTTGAAAGAGCAAAATTGCTATAGTTGGATTCTCTTTCTGTACTTGAAATGTTATGGAAATGTTTATTTCTGAATATTTAAATGACCTAGGTTCTTCTAATTTTTTCCTTAATGAAGCAGTGACTACCCTAAAAATACCATTCCAAATTGTCCTTCCCTTGGCAGGCTCAGCATGATAGAAGTTAAAAGCAGTTTCTATAAGTGATACATTATCCACTTTGTTACTACTACTCCATCCATGATTATTCTATTTAATTTTCAAGAGATATCTTTTCAGACCATTTGAATCATAAATACTAACCTACCAATTTATTCAAAATACACAAAGAATGAAGCTTATTTCCATATGTATTGTGATCTCTTTAACTATAGCTAAACCAGTAATGTCTCAAGCCCTTCTAGATATTTAAAAGATAGACTAATGAAGGGAATCTATCAAATGAAAGGTTGAAAAATCAGTAACCCAATCTTGATCACCTTTAGAATATGGCTAATCATTTTTCAAGCTGGCTGCAGATGCATCCATCTCCCATACTGGTTATTTTTAATGAGTCTAGTTTATGCTATTTTAGTCTACTTTCCTAAGAATTTTTTTGCTTAAAGAAATCTTTTATATATTGAAATAATAAAATAAAGTATTCTGGTGCATATCTGTATTCCCAGTACTCAAGGGATCAGAGGCCAGAGAGTCTGTAGTTCAAGGTCACTTTCAGGTACATAGTGAGTCCAAGGACAGGCCAAACCATATAACACTCTCTCAAAGCCTAAACCAAAGGGAGACAGAGAACAAGAGAAAAGAAAGAATTTCAGGTTATGACATATAAGTCAGCAAAGGCAAAATAAGCTATTTGCAAGGCTTTATCTCTAAGCCCTCTTTGAAATTCATGTTAAATGGTGCTAACTCCTTAGGAAAATTTGAGTGTTGGGAATTCTGGTGTGCTTTAGTTATTTATTGAATGCCTTTGTCCAAACAAGCAATAGTCCATAATTTAAATGTTCTTTCTTTTATTTTTGTATTTTATGTATATGGATACATTGCCTGCATATATGTTATTGCACTCATCTGGTTACAATACCCACGCAGGTGAGAAAAGGGCATTGGAACCCCTGGAACTGGAGTTATGGATGGTTGTTAGTGCCACGTGGTGTGACAACTCAATTCAGGTCCTCTGGAAGAATAACCATTGCTTTTAACCACTGAGCCATTTATCCAGCCCCAATTTAATGTTCTTTAGATGACATTTAGAACTACAACATGGGGGGCAATTCCACATGTTTAGTATGTGAACAAATTGATAAATCGGAAATGAAGCTAAGAGCCACCCTTTCTCCTTTGCATTCCTTTGTATGACCAGTTCCTTTGTTTAAGAAAGGAGACATTTCATTTAGAAAGGATGGAACTTGCCACTAATGTCACAGCTTCTCTGGGGCCTCATTTATGGGGCTACTAAGCTCTTCACATTTCCTTCCTCAAAGAAACAAAGACGTTAGAATAGGGAGGAGAATCTTGCTCTTTTTGTTTATCCATGCCCTTACTCATGCCTGTTCCTTTGGCTAGTAATTGTATCTTAACATTTTTTATGTGCAGGGAAAAAATTAGACTTTAAATCTCAAAGACTCCAAAGGAGAGAGGATGCTTGCATTTACTCTTTGATATCTAAGACACTTTCAAACCAATTATCAACTGATAACATACAGCAAGCCAAGTAATAGCATAGATTTTATCAGACTAAAAATAATGCAGTGAGCAGTATGTAGGAACTTCTCTGTCAACTGAAAATGCTGCATTTGACAATAACGAAGATAGTTTCTTCATCAATAAAGCTAGTCTTCTCACAGAAACATGTAAAACATTTTCAAACATAATGAGCAATTTTCTTTATGCATTTTAAAATCCATCCAGCATACCACCCACATTCCATTGTATAATCATTCTTGTTTTCTGGAGGGTGTGAAAATCCAAGTTAATTATACTATTGTTAGGAAGATAAACTGTGCTTTTTCCTTCATATACTAAAAATAAAATTGGATACCACCAGGTTTTTTATTTTTTTTTCTTACTTGTGGCAAAATCTCTTGTGGCAATATATTAAATGAACTTGTCTCTGGTAGAAATAAAGAAATGAGTGTTTTAGTGAGCCAGAAGAAACATTTTATTTACTTCTTGTCCATTTCTGATTTTCATGCAAACTGTTTTATGGAACATTTGTTGAAACAAGTGTATTTGTGCATTTGATGGTGTTTAGAAATAGAACGTAAGACTATATTGAGAGGTAAATTTTGGATACTAAGGAGTTAGTCATTAGAAACTAAGTTATGTCCTAAAGGGAAAAAAGAAAAAAAAAATACTTTTCTTATAAAGGATCTGCCTTCATTTGCATCAAAGGTTTGCTCATGAAAGCCTGTTCTGGTATGATACACATTCAGTCACATGTGATTTTGTCTTACTGTT